TTCTGAAAACTTATAAATATCTCTTATAAACTTCAAAAAATGGTCATGCTGGACCATGAGAGTGGATGAAAAGCGCGCCGGTCCCTCGCGGCGGTTTTCCCGCAAAACGCCATGGTCGTCAATGGGTTAATTGAACTGTTTGTATATTTCCTTGTCTATCTATCCTCATACCTGGCTGTCTTTCTGTCTATTTTTTTTTTCTGGTTAGTTACTACCTAATCACATCTTCATACTTGCGATACAATCTGCATCCAATCGTCATTTTTTTCACTGGTAACATAAGGTTGACAGTGATTGTCATCGTGGTGATTGGATGACATTCAGGTGCCGAGACGAGTCGTCTTTGTTCCATCGCTGCCAAGGAATTCTATGGCAAAAGTACAGAAAAAGGAGCTTCGTGAACGATACAAGCATATTTGTGATGAGCATTAGCTACTTAGTAGCTATCAAACTACTTCAGAATATCGCCCGGTTTATCTTACCCTACTTGTCAGCTCTTCGGTGTACCTTTGTGATGTGTTCTATAGTATTATTTACATATAGGTGATGTTTATTTTCAGTACGCACTCATAATTTTGCTCAATTTTTTTCAGGGTAGGCATGTATTATAATTTATAGACATGAATTGTATTATTAAAAGTATTAATATAAATAATGTAATACTTTTGTAATTAGTTGTTGCATTCGATATGAAGAAGTAAGATTGTTGATTGATGATGTAGAACAGGTTTTGAAACCCCAAAAAAACCTCTTACACCGTTGTGGCATGAGATGTGACACGATTGACGTCGGTCGGTCGTTGAACCGCCTACTACTGCTTTTACTCTAACAATTGGCGATTGTGACGACATCTACCTACTAGTACAGGTCCAAGACTTGACTAGTAAAATACCGTTTTGATTTTTTTCTAGTTTTTCCGTATTTCTCCTGTCAGTTCTGCAAGAACCATTGCTCGATGGGCTTATGCTGTGTATTTCTCGCTCTCACTCTTTCTATGTAGTGCCATTGCCACTTTCTTCTTGTTATAACTCGTAACTTTACTGGAACAATCGAATGACCAATGCTTGATCATTAAGTATCATTGGATATGCTAAAAATTTACACCCCCGCCGGAAAGAGTTCATCTATCCACCACAGACGCTGCAAGCCAACTGACTGCTGGCTAATCTTCTTGTAAGCTTTAGAAAAACCCGATCATGTGAATAAGCTCCATGGGTATTACACTCCTCGAAACCTCGAATTCGCTTTGATTAAGAAAAACACGAGAAACTCAGTGCCAAGTGACAAAATTGATTGTTTTGCTTTGTCCCTAAAGTTGATTTTATAGTACTGGTAAGAAGTAACAGGTTCAAGCCTCTTCCTAGATTAGCATAGTGAATTCGTAGTGTATCAGTGTCAGGAATACTGTCCAGGTGCGGCTATCTATAAATCTCGGCATGCTCCTTCACAGTTTGAGGTTGTCTTTTATACTGAAGGACCGAGATCTTTCTTTGTAGAATGAAATAGTGCTTGATCGGATGGTTTTTCAAATGCCTTCTGTCTTTCCAGCCTCCGAGGAAGGTGAAGGCACCGAAACGTCAGCCTAATAAATTTTTGTTGCAATCTCGGTCCTACAGCTCCAAAAACAACCTCAAACAGTGTCAGAAATGATTGAAATGTGTGCCTGGGAGGACGGGCGGAGAGTGGAGCGTGCTCAGCTGTTCCTTGAAGTGATGGGTCTGGAAGGGCATGAAAGCAAATACGGAGGTGTACTTGCTAAAGTGCTGTACGGGTGGAGGGGGTGTAGTGACAAGTGGCATACTATGAAACACGCAGAGTCACGGGTTCGAGTCCCGGATCGATATCCGTCTAAGCCAACGAAGTCTTCCATCCTTCGGGGTCGGTTAGTTAAAACCAGACTCGTCTGGAAGGATACATGTACTGACTTGTACATCGGCTGGCCACCACAGGCCATTGTATAAGCCACACCCCACTCAATACGCCACTACGATTCTGAATGGAAGTCAGTGCGGGGCGCATCCCTCAGACGGGTTGGCTAGCGCCCAATGACTTTACCCTTATTCCTTCAAGTACTTTACTACTGCTTGAAAGTAATGCTTCAAGAATGCTATGATTCAAGCGTTATCCCGATGGTAAGGCGCTCAATAATCTTTGTTATCGCAGTAAGTCTATTTACAGTTCCATTTCTTAGCGTGAACGTGCGTAGATGGTTTTTGTTATGAGAATTTTAGGCCTTTGTCATCAGATGATTCACAGGCTTAATTTGAATTCCATTTCGAAGACGTCAGTACAAAAAAATGTGTAATGAAACATTAGGCACTAGTCAGACCAATCGATATACGCCATGTATCTGTATTTCGTGATTAATCGCTAAAGCATTCCGTTCACGTCAAACTGAAAAGTTCTCGCAATCAGCGAAAAATCAAAAATGGAAACAATTAGGAAATGATATTTCCGAGGCATAAACATTTGAGGAAAATTAGCACCATCTTCCTGTAGGATTTTGCTGATGTGACGTTCCGATTTCCGGTTTCAAGGTATGAAATTTTGCACAACAGTCCCGGAAATTGATCACTGCTTTTTCAATGATAGCTAGGTCAATGTTCCGCGAATGTTTCCTAATTCGTGGAAGTCAAAGTAACGTTGTGAAATAGATTCACCAAAATTTTTTCTGATTCAAAAAGGAGGTGTCCTAGTGTCAAGCGGCGCCGCTATCACATTTATGCTTCCGTGATCGAAGCCCGTAGCGAACTCATCAAAAGCCATCAACCCGCCAGCCCTTTTCATCCTTTACAAGCTCTCGGAAATCCGTCTGCGCTTCGAAAATCATTGTATGAGGAAAACAACCATGCAAACGTCACTACAGTCCCGGAAGTGAATTGAGCGCATGGCCTATCCTGATCAGCGCTTGCAGCTTTATTCTTACAAGGAGCAGTTTTTGAACCGGCGACTGCAGGAAGTAGAACAAGTTCAGTTACGTCTTTTACGATACTGTATTTAAAACAGTAATGTAAAGTGTCAGGGGACTGATTGAGCGCAATCAGGGTTGATCTGCAAATTCAATAACTACTGTGACCGCAAAAAAACCTGGTTTTTATTGATCGCCACGCCCACTTCTCTTGGTTCTTCACAGTTTTGTTCAGTTTCTAAACTTTTCGTTAAAGCCTTATTCTCATTACAATCTCCGAGAATGTCAGTCAAATTTTCATTTTTTATTTTTCATTATTTTCTTTTGAAGTAGATGAGCCATGAAGGTAACTTTCTTTATCATTCGTCCTAAACTTTTTAGTAGCCAATGTTATTTCTACACACTCACTGTATAGTAATCAACAGCTCTACATTGTTTCTGCAGAATGAAGTTCACCTCGTAACTACATAACTTACTGTATCAGTTTGTTTACTGTGTCAAAATGGTATTGTGTCGTACAGGCGGTGGCGTCTTTCCCGTTCCGCCATATCGGTCAGTTTACAACCCTGTCGACACTATCACCACTATAATTACTGCATTGTCATGTAATCGATCGATTGATGTATTTGTAATCATTGTTGATTGTACTGTGTAGTTACGTTTGTCAATCAAGGGGAACTGCTTGATCTGATTGACAGTAGCAGTAGCAGTACAGCCGAGCAAGCCCCACATATCAGGTGGCCATGTGGTCGATAACGCGATCAGGGCTCGGACTTTGGACTTTGTCGTCCCAACAAACCTCCTCTAACCCCCTTCTCAGCCGTTTGTTTCTTCCACTATCACGGGAACCTTCTTTGTCGACTTTACTATCGTAAGGACGTTTGAACTGCCTTTTTGTAAACTCTACGTCTTCGGTGGCATTCTGTCTTTGTCGCTGCACTCTTGAATAGCGCTGTCTTTCGGAATTGAAGTAATTGTTTGTCATAAGTTTTTAAAATGGCCATTGTACAAACTACTCTTATTATTGGAGAATGTAAGACTAATTTTAAGCATAACATATTTTTTCTAACTTTTAGTGAAAAATAAAGACAAACTCGAAAAACTTCCGGGTGGAAGAGAGAGCAGTCGCATGACGTGCTCATAAGACTACTACTGATATGAGTTTTTGGGAAACTGGTAAGTAAAGTTAGTCATTAACTCTCCTGAAATGAGAAGCATTCCTCAACGATAATTGATAAGTGTTCGTCTCGAGAATAGCAGCGTTCCTGGCATAGGGCGGTATCAGAATTTTCTCCGAACTCTCACTGCCCAAATCCCGCCCATTCGCAGGCCACGCCCTTTGGACAGTGCAAGCAAGAAATTTTAGGTACGTTTCATGTAATAGCAACGACACGAACTGACGTTTAGATGAGGGAGTACACGTATTAAAAGCTAACTTGGGGAGACTAACGAACGAGCTCCGAAGGACCTTCGAAAAACTCTCCGAATTCTATTTTTTAGTTCGAAAAGGTTAACTTTGTATTTATTTTTAAGCTTTCATTACTTTTTTCAATAGTGATGTCACACTCGCCAATGCTACGTGTACTTTACACTTAAACCACTACATTTGAACATAGTCCATCCTATGCGTTCAAATGATTTTTTTATGTGCACGGTTATGCCTAAGCAGATCTTGAGTTGTTTTTTTGTAAGTTCCATTATAGTAAACAAAGTCCAAGAAAATGAGTAAATAATCACGAATATGTTGAGCTATAGGCAAAAGATTTTCCCTCGGCTTGGGCATTCCTGTCAGGACTAAATCAACTGGTAACTGAGGTCAGAAATGAACGATTTGTTACGAATGAACTATTTCTATTACTCAAAAAAAGCATTTATGACTGCCCCCAATCCAACTAAACTGCTTCTTGTCTTTACACGATCTCCACGATCACTTAGACCACCTTTGAAGAATTTTCTCCCATAAATTCATTATTCATGAATACCAGTTCAGTTGCATATGTGTTTATGTCTCCATTGCAATTGGTTGATTCATTTTTGATCTCGGCCTCTGATTGGTCGTTTTTGTCAGCTTCCAAGGCACACAATTGGTCAATTACAGACAGGTATTTTTGAGGTCGCTATGAGATCAGCTTGCAGTTTAGAAGCTGCAACGAAATCTGTCTTATCTATTGACTTGGATCATCAACGGCAACGTGTGTACTTGTCGATACGCCAGCCGATCTGTGTGTATGTGTGTGTATGTGCTGTCTCATACACTACGAACGTCTGTTTTCCATGAGAAAAGGTCAGATGTGATTTTACAGCATGAAAGTGTCGAGCAGCTCGCGCACACAAATCGTTGCCGTCGAGAAAAAAAAAGCGTCCAATGAGAGAGTGTGTCACTCGATCTCACAACAACACACTCTCACCTGTGTTCTAAAAATTGTCGATGTTCCGAATTCCAGAGATTTCTTCGCAATTTCGCTGTTTTCACCATTGTCCACTGACGGATAATTTTGTCGCCGACGTCGTCGTCGTTGTCGTC